CACACCTTTGGCTTTCGAGGTCTTAACTCTTGGTCAGTGCTTTTCCAGAATCCCTGGCCTCCTGAGGCACTGACTTTCTGAACTGGGTACGTGAGCATCCCTCACAATAGGAATGCAGATAATGACCTTCATTAATGAAGGAACAAGCGTCTGTCCCCTTCCGTGAGCAACAGTACAAGCCCTCACCGTTACAGTCTGGTGGGAAGATTCGCCTATCTTCTGTTTTCTTTGTGGGTGCGATTTGCATACTTGTGTTTATCACATCTTTAATCCACTGTGCTTTTCAAGGATTTATCACATCGCAAGGCTCGAATACTCTCTCTAGGGGGGAGGAACCATAGGTTGTGAGAGAAATGGGCCCAGCAGGGGTGTTTGTACTTTAGAGCCCCTCTCCCAGAAACTGAGTTCCCTGGGCCTGCCCACCTCCCCAGGGTACTCATTCCGAGCACCCGGCCAACAGCCAATTTAAGGTCTGGCTCAGGGATTTGAGCTTCTCCCTGCCTGGCACTGAATGAACACTACTACCACCTCTACCTCACTGGAGACCTCATTAGGACTTGAACTCTGGTCTTTGTTCCTTCCCAGCGGATTCTTTTCAGAGGAAAAGGTGGAAAGAGGAGGGGTCAGGTAAACCCACAGCTCCCAGAGCAGCAGGAGTCCAACAGCCTCAGAGATCGGGAAAGTGAGTAAACAAGCAATTACTGGAGAGAGAGCCTAAAGCTGCAACCAGAGAAGCAGCTTAACTAATTCGATTCTACTCCCCGCAGGAGAGGACCGAGCCTTCCTCAAGCCCTCCTCTTACCCAGCTTCCTTCTGCCTTTCAAGTGAAATTCCATCCCTAGTGTAAGCAGGGCCCCAGGAGTAAGAGGAAGACCACTACCAAGACCGAATTCTTGGCTTGGCCGCTGTCACCCCTGCCCTTTGTTGTAAGGAGAAAGAATACAGTGTGCTGTATAGATCCCTCTTCCCAAAGCACATGTCGTTTGGATCTCTCTGCTAGAGAGAGCTAAGAAAGAAGGAGGTGACTCAGAACTTGCTTCTCAGAACCTCGAGTGGGAACCCAGCTGGGCTGCAGGAAGTGTGGGGTCGGAGTGAAAGAACCCCCACATTCCTCCCTTTTAGCTCCCAGCAGCCTCCTGCCTACTGCTAGTAGACTAGTCCCCAGTTTGTTCACTTCCTCTGCTTCTGCTGACATCAGTGCAGATCTTGTCACAGAAAGGTCCCTGCGTAGATAAGACTGACTTCTTGCTATTACTGCCTTCACAGACTTGATAATGTAGTGGCGGTTTAGAAGGAGAGATAAAATCTTCAGGGCATTAAACATGTCCATGAGGCCAGTCGGTGATGGCACACTCCTTTAATCCCAGCAGAGGCAGGAGTATCTCTGTCAGTTCAAGGCAAGTCTGGTCCACAGAGTGAGTTCCAGGACAACTACAGCTGTTTCGAAAAGAAACCCTGTCTGGAAAAAACAAAACAAAATCATGCCCTGAATAACAATACAACATACAGTAGATTCCACTGCTGGTTTTGGTCCCAATAATTTCTCTCCTGGATGTTTTTCTTCTGAAAAAAAAAAAAAAAGAAAGAAAAATGTCTCAAAGTCATCAAAATGGCTCCAAGCCTGAGGAATACAGTTGGTCCCCCAAACCTGAAGGGACCAGCTTCCCTTTTGGCAGCCATAACAGCTGAAAACGTGCTTCTATGACCTTGTCCTAGACACTAGAAAGTCAGATGCCTGCCTCGTGACAAGTAACCAATCAGAAGTTACCTGGTGGTGCTATGCTTTACGACCCTGGGTGTGCTTTACGGACAAGCGCACAGCAATGACACACAGAGTATGGCAACCATCCTGGGAGGGCCTATGGACCATAACAACCAGGTGACCAATCAACACAGGGCAAGTCCTCCAAGCCTGGAGGCACACCAATCGTGAGCCTGTGCGTACCCCAGAACACTCCCCTTACGCTGTCCTATAAGATCTCTCGGGAGGCCCTAGGAGCCGTCTTTTGCGAGCCATCCGCCATGGCGGATGGGTGAAAGACCCGAGCTAACATGGGGTTAGCTCGTTAAATTACAATAAAGCCTCGTGCAATTTGCATCAAGCTCTTGGATCTGCCTGATGATTGGGGTGACCGCAGTCGTGGCCTGGGACCTCGGATACCTGAGTTTTTCAAGGGTCAAACAAACCCACATGGTGGAAGAGAAGAACGGACTCCCACTGACCTCCCCATCCATGTTGTGGCAGACCCACAGCCATACATAAAATTAAAATGTAACAAAAATTTTAAATAAATAAACTGGTCTAACTACTTAGCCCAGACTAGTGCCAAACCTGCTCTTTCTGCCTTTGCCTCTTGTGCTAGGATTATGAACCATCAGCTTCCTCCCTGGCTGGATTATTGGCCAGCCTCTAGCTGCCATTGTCGTTGCTTCTCTCTCCTTTCCTGCCCTAACTCCTGGTTTCAGGTAGTTGGGTACCCAGATGTGTATCCAACAGGGTCCCACTCTTTCTTCAAAGCCTTCCTTGGCTCCCAGAGCCACTTCTGTTTTTAGGCAAGCATTCCACCATCTTTTAAGATGAAAGCATACTCCCAATCTGGCACACCTCGCCTTTGGTCTGATCGTCTGATCGTTCTTAATCTGTGAGTCTATGCTCCACTCACGGTTCATACACTGATCAGAATGAAGCATTTGAGGTATACCGCTACAACTGGCCTCGGGACCTTTGTACATGCAACTCTTTATCAGTCTGAAAAGATTTCTCTCTGTACTCCCAACTTAGCTGATTCCATGGGAAATCATTATGAAAATACCTCCACCCCCCCACCCCCCCCCCCCCGCCCTTCCCCCTCCCCAAGAAATCCTTGTACTATTATAGTATTCAATCCGGATTATAGTCATCAATTTTTATGTCCTTCCTCTGTCTAGACATCAAGTTCTTTATTCATCTTTGTATCCAGTTCCTGCATAGACTAGGCAGCAAGTGATGGTTGAATGAGAGGCTGACCGACAGACAGAAGGATATGAGATGCCAGAGACTGATAATATCACCAAATTATTCTGTAGGATGAGTAACCTCTTAGTTAATAGTTAGAGCTTGGGGAGCAGAGTGTTGAGACAGAAGGGAAAACAGACTAACGTGAGTGCTTAAAGTCAAGGGTGCTCACAGTAGAAACTGGAAAGCAGGCACAGGAATGAACTACAGCGGGAAGGCAGGGGAGAGATGAACTGTGTTGTTATCCTGGTACTGAGAGGGAGTGTGAGAGGAGTATCAGACAAAATCCAAGAGAAGGCCCTAGATGCAGAAGTGGAACCTGGCAGAGGAGGTGATCTGTTTATTTTTAGAAATAAATAGCTTCAGCTAATGAAAACAGAAAGCAAACAGGCTGGAGGAACTTTGGGCTCTAGGTTTCATTTTGTTCCTGGGTGGGCTAAGCATGTACAGACCTACAAGTTAAGACCTCACCCTAGCTTTTGTTTGTTTGTTTGTGGTTTTTTGGTTTTTTTGTTTGTTTTTTCATGACAGGATTTCTCTGTGTAGCTTTGGAGTCTATCTTCACACCCACCCTGTAGACCAAGCTGGCCTCGAACTCATAGAGATCTGCCTGCCTCTGCCTTTCAAGTGCTGGGATTAAAGGCATGCACCACCAATGCCCGGCCTCACCCTAGCTTTTTAAAACACTGGGACAGAAGTCTAGTAGTGATGATGGTTTGTAAATCACTAACATAATTTTAACAGGAAATGATCCCACTACCAAGAGGACCTATTCCTTCTTTGACATTTTGCCCTATGCTCTCTCTGGAGGACTTGACTATTTCTCCACCTGAGCAGGACTTTTCTCTCACCCAATCTACAGTTCAGTCTTTTCCTACTTCTCACATTCCTCCTGTTTTCTGACTCTGAGCTTATTTTAGTCTTGTTTCTCTTGAGATCATCACAGACATCTGTCTCTCTTGCCTTTCCCATCCGTCCACGCCACTCTCTCCCACTCCTCCTTTCCTCTCTTTACTCTCCTTCCAGTTGCCTTAACCGACCCAAAGCTGCTTGGCTCTCCTCCCTCTCTTCTCAGTATCTGGAGTCTCTTGGTTGGACATGTCTCAACCTGTTTCCAGCCTCCGACTAATCCTCCACAACACTGACAGATGAGGTCAGACTTGGTGGGGAGGGAAAGGGAGAGAAAATTTCATTCATGAAGGACTTTCCAAATGGGAATAACTACATGTGGCATCCCAAGTGTACATATGTGTGTTTTCTGCAGGTAAGAAAACCAAACATTGCCTTCTTCGTGGAAAATGCTAGCATTCCAATATCTTAGACTCTTAACGTGTTTAGGGGATGGTACATCAGAAACCTCTCTCCTTAGGCATGGTAGCTGGTGGCACTAGGGCTCTGGGAAACCATCCCTTTATTTTTTCAGAATCTATAGCAGTTTGTTGCCTTGCCAACTGGTACGTTGGAGTGTAAACTGCAAGGGTCTCTGTCGATTGGCAGTGAAGAAGAGATTGTAGGCTGAAACTAACAAGGTCCCTGGAGTAATTTATTAGTGTCTCTGATATTTTACAGAAGGCAGAATAGAAGGTGCTTATTCCCCCAGAGAAAACACTATACATATATATATATATATATATATATATATATATATATGTTCCTTCCTCCATTGGTTCTGCTATGGTATATGCAAGCCTTTCAATTGACCTCAGCTCCTTTCTGCCACCTTAGTTCTTGTTTACTTTTGTGCCAGCTCAAAGGGCAAAGGAAGTTATAGCCAGAACCTCCACAGCTGTCCCTCCACTCACTCTCTAATCTCCTTTCTCTCATCTTCTACCAGAACATGTTAAATTTCATCCATGACAATCTTGGCTCTGTGAAATTTTCTTTGTCCCTTGTTTCCCATGAGCTCTCTGTGGCTTCCCTCCCATGGCAGTAAGTAGCCTGCACCAGCCCCTGCTTCTAGGCCTTAGCTTTCTGCTCTTCCTTCTTCCTGGAGCTCCTTTTCTTTTTAAATATGTAACACTTCCCAGTTTTGCATGTCATCCTTGAGCAGGGGCCATGCTAATCTTCTCTGTATTATTCCAGTTTTAGTCAATGTGCTGCCAAAGCAAGCAAGATTTTTTTACTCTCATAGCTCTGAGGACTGTAGCTAAACTCGACCACAACCCCATGAGGAAGATATATAGAAAGGTCCAGAAGCCTTCAGGAATGTTTCTCAAACTGTAAATCATTCCATATGGCTGGGGGCAGCATGCAAAGGAAGGAATGGTAAGAGGGAGCTAGGCCTCCGGTAATCTAAAGTTGAGGAATTCACATTTGATTGTGAGATCAGTAGAAATGTCTGCTTGTTTTGTTTTAAATTTTTTTTAAAAAAATTTCCTTATCTTTTATGTGCTTTGCCTAATGTCTACTTTGCTTTGTTTTGTTAGTTAGTTTTTGGTTTGGAGGGTTTTTTATTTATTTTTGAGACAGGGTTTCTTTGTGTAGCCCTGGCCATCCTGGAACTCACTCTGTATTCCAGGCTGGCCTCGAACTCAGAGATCCACCTGCCTCTGCCTCCCAAGTACTGGCATTAAAGGTGTGTGCCTTCATAAGCATATGTATATATTTTTTAATATTTTATTTATTTATGTATACAATATTCTGCTTCCATGTATATCTGCACACTAGAAGAGGGTACCAGTTCTCATAATGGATGGTTGTGAGCCACCATGTGGTTGCTGGGAATTGAACTCAGGACCTCTGGAAGAACAGTCAGTGCTCTTAACCTCTGAGCCATCTCTCCAGCACCATAAGTATATTTTTTAACTTTGCCTCTTTTAATCACAATTATAAAGCACACACACACACACAAATAGAAACCAAGAGAAATGAGTGACTTCCTGAGTTGAGTCACATTTTTCAGTTTCGAGTTCCTAGTCTTCTTCTTCAGAAGGGTCTCATGGCACCAGGTGGGGGTGACTTTGAAATCTTTTACTTGAGGTCTCACTAGAATACTCAAGATGCACAGCTTGCTTGCTGGTGACCTCATTTATTCTGTCCTGCCTGAGAAGCAACTCTCTCCTCTTTTCTCATGTGGGCATTCAGGAGCCCCAAGAGCAGGAGCAAGAGCCACCTTGGGAGGCCAGATGCCTGCTGCTGAGGTGACTAGGGGCTATGAAGCAGACAGCTGGGCCAGCCCACACCAGAATCACCAACATGTATATCTTGACAGCTGTTCCCACAGTGTCACTAAGAAAGCATCCTTTAAAAGAGTATGGAGATAAGAGCTAGAGGACACCCACAGAAATCATAGGACAGTAACCCCCCCCCCCCAGACAATGTCCCAAGTCCCTGGACTTCAGCGTCTTTGCTTTTAGTGATTTCTCCCATGGCCGTAAAAATAAAAGTCACTCTACTCTCTAAAGTAGGTCACTTTGTGGGGGAAGGGAGCTGCTGAATGCAGATGTCAAGGAATTTTCACCCTTTTCCAAACCAAAAATAAAACTTGGAAACTGTCTGAAGAAAAGAGGTACGGCTTAAGAAAAGCCAGGGAGAAGAAGGTGGGCGGGGTGTGCTTGCCCTAAATTCCCTTGGCCCACAGCAGACCTCGCGCAGCAGAGAACTTGACTCAGTGGCAGTTCCTCACCGTGACTGCCCACTCCCTGCAACCCTGGACTCACAAGCCTCTTCCTGCTGGTAGGACTCTTGCTGCATGATGCCAATAGTGGCTTCCTTCTCCCACATCTAGCCACTCTCCCTGTAAAAAGCCTCTATTGATCCATCAAAGACTAGAGGGGGGCTGGGGGGGGGGAGACGAGGCAAAGAGGCCTTTTGGATTTCTCCATCCAAGTGGTTCTGAGATTCATTATCTCTTCTATAAGGCAGCACATGCAGTCCCAGCAAAGGATGGAGGCGAGGCTGTGGAGCCCACGTGTGGGCTCCCCTGGCTTCGCCTCTCCTTTCCTGCACCTGGCCACCAGCCAAGCCGGCTTTCAGCTGCTGCTCCTGTTTCCAGTGAGTAGACTCCCCTACCCACCCCTGCTATTATGCAGGGATTGGAGATCTGGTGAGGCACAGAGAAAGGATGACATCTTCCAGCCAGCACAGCTGTGGCTTGATCTCCAGCATCCAGAGTTTTGGGAGACTCTTTGCAAGTTTGATGGTCAGCAAATATTACTCTTTACTCTTTTTTAGTGGGCTGTCACTTTCCCAATCATAGCTCTTCTTCCCTGAGCAGACTCTTCCTCAAAGTGCCCTCACAGTAAGATGGCCTAGGAAGACCAGAGAGACAAACAGGAGCAGAAACACCTGCAGTGTGGATGCAAGGATCTGTGCTGGAAGATCAGGAGGGATGTTGGCAGTTAGTAGCAACTTGGAGAAGCCTACTGGATGGCTATCTGGGATGCAAGAAGGGAATAAAGTGAAAAGCAGCCGAGGCATCTTCCACCTTAGTGTTTGGAGTCCATGGAACACAGGTTTGCTGAGTTGAAGAGAACAGTTTAATTTGGTTCTGCTTTGGTTTTCCCTTTGTTACCTCAGAACAAGCAAGCTCCCTGCTGATGCCCTGCTAGGCAGGGTCAGGGGATGGATGGAAGAATAAGCAGTTGGGAACAGGACTTTCAGCATATCCCTGAGTACTCAAATAACTGAAAGGAGCCTTGCCTTAGGGCCAGGGAAAACTGCTGGCAGAGGTCCAATTGATGGAAAGAAACCAGAGAACTGGAGCCAGGGTTAAGCTTGGTTAAAGGAGTCAGGGACAGCTAATTCTCACCGTCCTTAAGTTAGGGATGTGGCTTATGACACAGGCCTGGTGACCAGGTCTCGAAACATATCATAGAAAATGCTTAGTTAAGTCTAGGTTTACCCACAGCATCACAGACCTACCCTGCCCCTGAGTCACCTGCTGGAGATGTTCAGTGGCTATGCTAGTGAAGGCCAGTTGTTCTTTCTACAGCTTCCACAGATGACAGCCAGGACTAGTCCCTAAGCGGGCAGCATCCCATGGTGCACACTGCTGTGGGTCTACAGAGAAGGGAAGAGAGGCCTTTTTGGGAATGCAGTCCCCGGAGGCTTCGCCTTCTCTGCCTGTAGAATTCCAAAGGCCTGAAACAAACCCCAGAATGCAATCCAGCAAAGATGATTTGGGCTATATCCCTCTGGGACAGGGAAATTGCCAGAAAGGCTATTTATTTTTAAAACCTTCATTCCCATTGGGGGAGGGGGTGGGGGAAAAACCAAATCAGGAAGGAGACATTCTGCTAGTTGTGTATGTTTTACACTCCTAGCTTTCATATTCTTTCCCTATTGTGCCCTTATTATTACTAGCCAGGTGGTGGTGGTGGTGGCGCACACCTTTAGTCCCAACACTTGGGAAGCAGAGGCAGGTGGATTTTGGTGTTTTTGAGGCCAGCCTGGGCTTCACAGAGAAACCCTGTCTTGGAGGGGAAAAAAGAAAAGAAAGACGAAAGAAAGAAAGAAAGAAAGAAAGAAAGAAAGAAAGAAAGAAAGATATTACTGAAAAAGTCTAAGGGCATGAATTAAGATAGAAATGAGGCCTAACATCAACTCTGCTTTTACTGTTTTTCCTCTCAAAGCTTTCCACAGGGTAGAACTTTTAATTTGAACAATGGTTCAAAGGCTGAGAGACAAACTGCTCATTACTGGACAGAGTGCCAGGAATCCTGGGAAGCCAACCTCACTCCCCACTGGAGCACTGTACCTCACAGTAAAGGCTCCTTTCATAGTCATGGAAGGTTGGATCAGCATTTCTTTTCATCTCATCTTCTTTTAGGAACTGCTGGGATAAAAGGGAGTCTAGGAGAATGAAAATTTCACAAACAGGACAAGAATAAAATATTTAGGGCAAAAGACCAGAAGTCCCTTGGATATTCAGTGAACTGAACTAACTCTACAAAAAAAAAAAAAAAAAAAAAAAAAAAAAAAAAAAAAAAAAAAAATTTCTGCCATCCTCTATGCCACAGTATGAGGCTTTAGACTACCACATACTGGCTCTAAGCAACATTGTTACACCAAATATGTGAAAGAGACTCAGGTTAACCTCAGGATAAAATGGGGGCAGTTCTGTCATTAACTTCTTTCCAAATACTAACATGTTTTATTCTGAGTGTTCTGCCAAAGAAGTTAAAAGGTACATTCCCTACAACTCCCCATTCTAAACCTATTCTACCATCAGTGGAAGGAAGGATAACACTGTTAGGAGCCACAAAGAGAAAGAAGCAAGGCGTTTTGGAGCAGCAATTCAAGTTTCCCATCATTAGTGATTCCCCCAAATCCTAGGGATGGTTTTTGAACGTGACGTAGTTGGGAAGCACGGAACTAAATTCTATCACCTTTACTTATTCTCAATTAATGTGATCTTCTTAGAGTACTTTTGTTTTGTTTTTAATAAGACCTGCTCTATGTATCTCTGACTGTCCTGGAACTTGTTATGTAAATTAGACTGACCTCAGACTCACAGACATCTGCCTGCCTCTGCCTCCTGAATGCTGGAATTAAATGCATGTGCCACCAAATCTGTGCCCAAATCCCTTTAAACACCTGGCTTTTACAGAGCTGTTAAAAGTTTTCAACTCGGGGGGTCCAGCTCAGTGGTAGAATGACCATCTAACATTTTTGGGGTCTTGGGTTCAATTTCTAATGCTAGAATGGTTAATTTAATGAAGAGAATAGAAACCCTCTCAAAGTGGTCCCCATCCAAAAAGGCTAGATAACTCTAAACACACTGTATCTTATCTAGTTCTGATAATCCTACCTGAGTATCAAGATGTCCAGGCCTAGCAACAAGTATGGCTTAAGAAACATTCTATGCCCAACAATTAGAGCTAAACATAGCTCTATGCTCTATTTTTTTTCCCTTTACTCATCACTGAAAGCATTTGTATGTCAACAAGAACTTTGTTCTTTGTGAGTTTTTACTCCTGCTTACTCCTTCCTGAAAATAGAGCTGATAAAATCCAAGAAAGTCACAGGGTTGGTGTGAGACAGACACAGCAACAAACTGCTGGTAGAACAAAGCTTCATGCCTGCCAGGGGGAAAAAAAGAATAAAAAGTACCTATATTTGCTGATAGGATCATTTAAAAATAGAAAGTTCCTTTTCTCCTTTCCTACAAATGGACACAATTCTCTCAGCCCATCATCTTATTTATACACACAATTCACTTCTATGGCAACGATAACAACAGTTGAGTGCTTCCCAAGTAGGAGGTATTTGGTTTGAGTCTGAGACAGGGTGTAGCCTTTGCTAGCTTCAAACTGGAGAACCTCCTGACTCAGCTTCCCAAGCGCTGGGGACTACTGGCTTGTGTCACCTTGCCCTGCAGGAATGAAGTACTTTCCAAGACCATTAACTCAGTAATTTTTACAACTTTATGAGGTAAGTACAATTATCCTACTTTTACACTTGAAAAAAACCAAAACAAAACAGAGTTGAAGCAACACAAAGGCCTCAGAGAAAAGTGACAGGACCAAGGTATGAAAATCTAGGCATCCCGCCTAGCCCATGCTGTTACACTGTTTGGTTTGTGCAACAGAAAGATGCTGTAGAAACTTTTTCCAATTTACATTCTCTTAAATTAAGCAGACACATAGTCCCATGGTTCATTTTCGTGTGAAACCAAGGATGAAGAGGGAACTTAGTGTCATCTAAAACGAACACACAGCTCTTTTCACACCAAATGTTACCCCTTTCAAATATAAAAGCACTCTGAGACAGCTGTTCAAGCATAACTGCATTCTAGTAATAGAAAATGTTTGCAGAATTAAGGCCCCAGACACCTTAAGATCCACTTAATGTATCCTTAGTAGTTAAAATAGAGCTTAAGTCGCTAATGTCTAAAAGAAAAACAAGGCAATTTCATAACACCTCGCTTTTATTCTATGTATATATAATCGTGGTGGAGTAGAAAGCCAACAGCTCCCCTGCTTAAAGAACCAGTCAAGAGTCTTACAGAAAGAGCAAAGCAATAGCCTCCTGCACTATGACAGTTAAGGGAATTAGAACTTAAGCTAGGGCCAAGGCATTCCATCACATGCTCCTTTTGTCTACGGCTATACAGCCTTTGTCTCTTTCCTCAGTTTCTCCTGTCTTTTAAGCACTCTAGTTAAAAACTGGTGCTATCTTTTCAAGTGCTAGCAATTATGTTTTAAAACACAGTCTCTAATTGGCTTGCCCCTAAGAGATCACTACCTCTCAAATACTGAAACATTTTGCATTAGACAAAACGGTCCCTTTAAATTGACTTGGCTTTCCTCTGTATCATGACCAAAACACTTATGTCATCATGTAGGTGACAACAAATCAGGCAGTTCTGCTAAATGAGAATTAAATTTACCCAACCCTCCTTGGCCTCCTTCCTCCTCTGGTTTGAGGCACATAATTTCACTTTCACCAATGCATTTACTTTCTACAACTAAACTAGAAAACTTAAAAAAAAAAAAAGTGAAATTTCAATCTTACCTAGCAGAACACAGAGATGGGTCTGAACATTTAGATAAGTCAATCTCATTGGTTTCTTAATGTTTGGTCCTAATAGACTTCTGAAGTAAGTTGTTATCTACCCCACCCCACCCCCATTCAAATCTAAAAAATGATCCATGGTCTATAAATTAACAGAAGACAGAAAGGAAGTTTTGGTGGAAACATCTGAGGATATGTCTTTAAAACTCGGTGCTTGAAATTACTTAATATTAAAGATTCCAAGCAGACTAGAGAAAAACAAGCTGGCCTGTGATGGCTCTAGAAAAGGCAGTTGTAGCGGCAGGTTTCAAGAACCTGCCAGACAGTCATTGATACTGGTATCTATCAGTAGTCCTCTGAGATAGGGATGTGTGTGAAAAACAAAAACAAAGCCCTTAAATATGTCTCTTGATACTTAAGACAACCAACAATGTCCCTAGTCTGTCAATGACTGACTCTTAAGAACCACACCTTCCATTTCCCAGACTGACTGCCCCTCCCCCCACTTTGTTGAAAACCCAGACAGGTGATTACATACAAGCAGGCAATGGAGTTGCTTCAAAATATTTAATACGTGTTAGACACGTAAAGTTACATTTTTATACAAAAATCAATACAGAGGAGGAGAAAATACTGTACAAAAACCTTATCAGCTCCCCCAACCTTTATACAACAAAGACTGGAGTCACCGTATCTACAAAACCATAAGGTCCTTCCACTTAGAGCTCGTCTGTAAACTTTGTTTCATTAAACACTTTTTAAAAGCACTGTGTAGTAAGTTCTGAGCTAGAGCTTTTAAAAATATATCTTTTCTCTATAAACTCCGTATTTCCAAGCTTGAACTCTTCTGTGAAGTTCACCAAGCTTTTTTATCCCCTTTGAGGAATTGAAGGTCCCTTAATGTTCTGCTGTCCCAGAGTAATCACAGGGTAGAAGCGCTTCTTCCGTGCCAGAGAAAGGTAGGGAGGGAGAAAAATAATACAAGTCTCTACTCCAGGCGAACTCCCTCTCGTCTGAGGAAATCCTGTGAGGAAACGCCACTCGGCGCGCCGATGAGGTTCTAGCTTTCATGAGAGTGTGTAAAGTCCCTCTCTCCCCCAAGATCAAATGGGGAACTCCCCTGCCTCGAGCCATTCAGCAGCTTCCTTTTCTGTGCTGCTGGCAGAGGAAAGTCCCTGTCTGCGCCCCCAAAAGTCTCAAGCCCCGGGGAAGGGGTGGTGCATTCCAGAACCACAGAACAGTCTCAACAACACAAGACAAACTTACACACGGACGGACACACACACACACACACACACACACACACACACACAGTCACACACAGACACAAAATTTAACGATCGATCGTCCTCTTCCGATAAGCCTCCAACTCTAGGTCTCTCTGCGTGAGACTCGAGAGCCACGGCCCAGCCGGGCTGCCCCGTTCGGGGCGATGTGCTGCCCGGCAGCAACCAGTCTCCCCCTACGCGCCCAGCGCCTACGGTCTCGGCTCGTCCTCGGGGCCGGGAAAGGCCACGGCCGAACTTCGGGGACGCCCGCTGCTCAAGCTCCAGCCGCTCGGGCCCCGGAGACTCAGAAGGCCACGATGGCTGTGCTCCAGGGGCTCATGTCTCTCAGCACCGGCTTGTCGCAGCAGATCTGCCCAGGCTCGGCGGCTTCCGGGCCGCTCTCCTCCGCCTCTTCTTCCTCCCGGCCGCCCGCAGGGCTTTTCCGTAGGAGTCCCGAGAAGCTAGAGCCGAAGATGCTGATGAGGTTTGCCACGTTCCCGGTCTCCATCTCCTCGTCCGTGTCCGTGTCCTCCTCGCCG